ATTTTGATTCCCCTAGAGATATGAACAGCAGCAGGGTCAGAAACCCCACTTTTTAGTCCTTCTAAACACTGGAGAAATCATGAAGAGAACCATCTATCCTGTTACAAAGGGTAACTTGTGGTGTATAAGCCTACTGATGAACAACACTGAACTCTTAAATACTCTTGAAAAGTGGTCCTTCTCAAGGTTTTTTTTTCCCCTCTTCTTTTGAATTTTGTTCATTTCTACTATTCTGCCCATGCTATAATATTCAGTGGGGAAGACTTCCCTACTTAGCCAGCACCTATGTGCTGGTTGGTTAACTCCATACTATTGTTCTCCACCAGCAGAACTGTTCCCTGACTCCAAATTTGGTACAAAAGCTAAGTTTTGCACTAATTGATTACATACACCTCCTTTGCACATGCACAGACACACACAGAGCCCTACAGTGTTGTGACATTGTAAAGGCAACTCCTTTACATGAACCCTCCAAACCATGTTGGACAAATAAACAGCACTGCAAACACAGAATCAGGAAAGTTAGAAGTGAGTGGCACAGATCAGAAAGACAAAGACAATCTGTACTCATGTATAAACACTGTCAGCTCCTCACTCAGGTAACAGTATAAAGGAAAATGGTATGTTAATATTTGGTTGGCCATCCAGAAAAACCTAATTAGTGGCCAAAGACTAACTCACACAACCAGGAAGTTATGGATCGGCGTTTGTTTTCCTCAGACAAGCTGTTGAACAGTAACAATTACATACTTTAAACCAGAGGAAATTAAAAGGTCATGTATACCTAATGGTGCAGACAAACTATTAGGACAACTCAATTCCCATTGGGATACATCCAAATTCAGCAGTCTTACATGAGTATTTACAGAATTTAGAAAGACTACATCTGTACTGATTCTGTCTGATTTAACTGACAATTTAGACAGCTAGTTCCTTTCTAATGAGGCTGTTTTTTAAAGTTATCACGTCCTCATAAGTTGAACTGGCCTTTTTTTCCTCTCTTGGCTATTTTTGTGCATCTGAGATGCTCTGCATCAAATGCTGCTTTTTATATAAAGTTTAGTTGCTTAAAGTAGAATGGGGGTACTGTGAGCTCTTACAGAAACATTTTATAATTCAAGCTGTTATGCTTCCATACTAAAAAGTTAACAAGGGGAAAGCTGTAATCACATTATGAATTGAGCCATTTCAAAACCAAAACAGTGTAGGAAAACAGTGTATTCACAAAATGAATACTAAGATACATTTATCCCAATTCATACAGCAAACCAAAAAAAAAATTGAAAGCTTCTTAACAATAGTTAATAGAGGATCCAGATGAACATTTCTGTACTTATTCAACATTTACTAGACAGGAGAAGCTAAAGAGCAATCCAGAGCAGTATTTGCAATGCAATTAGGCTAGACAAGTAAGTCTGAATGTATGCCAGCTGCAGGGGTCTGCCCTTAATTCACACAATCAAATGTCTAGTGTGTCACACAGTGTCTAGCATCAGTATCTCCAGTATTAAAAGTCTCATCAGATATGTACTTGTTTACTGAGCATCTTAATCAGGGTCTGAGCACATATCTAGCTGTACCTTCTAGCAGTCTATGTGCCAGTCCATCACCATCTGTCAGTTAAAGCTTTCACAGACAGAAAAAAATCAATTCAAACAAATGTGTTCGGCACTCAAACTAAGCTATCATTCACATTTCAATATAAGACTTGAATTCCTTTTCAGTGTTCTTCAACTTTGACCCAGCTCTACCCCCTCCTTCACTGAAAAGGGCAAAGACAACAGCCCAGCAAGTGGGACAGGCAAAACAGACCTCCTTTGTTCACTTTTTCCCTTTCAGTTTTCTATTGAGGTAAATAACTGAAAGCTCAGCCAGCCTCTAGTAGCTCAGAAGAAAGCAATATAGCTAGCTTGCAACTATCCTTTCCTGGTTAACAAACTGTGGGACAAAACTTATGGTGCATCATGTTAATCTTATTACTGGAGATTAACTCTTTACAAATTCCCTTAATATTATATTTAGACAGTTTTCATAACTGCAAAATTTACAGTATCTTTAATACTGAACTGAATAGGCAATACACTTACTTACCAGCTTAAAATGCAACAAATTCTCACTGTGGAGAAAGTATAACTAAATTTTTTGAATACTAGCAGCCCACTCAGGAAGGCAAAAATCAAATTCATTGCATATTGCCCAACACACAACTCCTACATCATTCCCTCATTTTACATTACCAACATATATTTTCCTCTGTATGGCTTCCCATTTTAGCAGCTCTGTCCATAAAACATGACAAAATGAACAAGTCCGGTGAAAACTGTACAACAGAGTTTTACTGTTTTATTTCAATGTAATGGAAGTTAAGTAATTACAATTCAAGGTGATTTGAGACAAATCAACAAAACTACAGACTAATAGCAATTCCACAACTGCAGGCAAAACAGATTTAATTTTTAGGCTGACTGAGCTATTTGAGCTATGCAGTAATCTATTAAGAAAATCCCAAACCCTTAGTGTATTTAGTATCTTTTATGTCCAGATACCATGGAGAGTCATTTCCCTAAAGCAGGACATTACCTTTTCTTGACTTGAAATCAGAATCCTCAAACCAATAAAATCTGACAATTAGAGAGACCCCAAGAAACTCTGACTTGGTTACTAAAGCTCCAAAACTCCAAAGTGCAACAAGCTAGCAGGAGGTATCAGTATGTGTCACTGGATTTGTTATTCCATTTTCTGAAAATAAAGACTACTTAAAATAGCTGAATTTTCTTACTACAGCCCTTTTTATGAAACAAGCTGTGGTATATGTGATAAATAATACACTTTCTGCAAGAAGATAAGGAACAGTAACTAGGGCTCAGGTTCTGGAGATCTCATTCACCTTCAACATTATTATTTTTGAGTATATTTACTGTAGCCAGTAACACTAGTGACGGAACTAAGATATTAATACGAGTATGATTAGTTGTGGATTTATCTGTCAGTTGTGAAGAGGGTTTTAGCTCCATCCTTAACACCAGCTGGTATATGCCAACCCACTGTCCGATGTGGTCACACAGCTGTACAGATTCCCTTTAGCTACACTGCCTTTGCACAACCCTAAATGCAAATTCATTCAATGGATCCCGAGTTCTGTCAACAGCAAGCAGCTTTCTGGGTTTGCTTCTTTATATTCAATATTCTCAGAACATAACACTTTCCAAGTTCTGTTGATCTACCTAGAATATATCTAGGTATATCTGGCAGCTAATTTTAGACACGCAAGAGAATTTTACACTACTCTGAAATTCAAATAAGTAACTTTCACAGACTTCGGCATCAAACTCTTCAACAACTCTGGTCACTTGCATTGCAATTTCTATTCAAAACTAAACAAATGCCTGAGGGGTATTCATAGGAATGATAACATCAAACAGGTTAGACAAATATTAGAAAGATGCTGCACCTGCAAGCTAGTTTTCTGACTTCTAGATCCTTTGAGTAAGTATGTAACACTATACTATCTTTCCAGCTGATAACCTTTGCCAAAGAACACCAGCAAGATCCCCCTCTTGGCATATAAACTGCTCTCAAACTCATAATAAAGTCTAGATGCCTTCTGATGTTGTACAGTGACCTGTTTTATGCACAGACCCATATAACTACTATCTATAAATTATCACATATACTATGTTAAATTATGGAAGATGTTGAAATGATTAATAGTGCATCTGTTAGATACAATGAAGTCTTCAGGTTTCATCTACCTTTCCCCCAACATACCTAAGAATCAAAATGATAGACACAGAGAAAGAAATGCACAAAGACAGGGAACATTAGAAAAAAGAAACCCAGGTAGTTAATACTGGCTTCTTGAGTCAGTAGGAAGTTGGTTTTAATAAACACCAAAAAGCTGGAGCTTTATGGATAAAAGAACATCTTGTCATGATCTATAGGTTCCATTATAGAGTTAAATACCACATTTTCCATTGTTTTCATCCAACTACATGTCGTAGTTCAAACTACTACACTACATAAAGAGGTAAGCAATAGCATTCCTCTCACAGAGTACCTGTCAATATGGAACGGCCTTATTGACTGGGCTGAAGCACACTATGATTTCAAATATTTAAACAGCTCGGATTTATTAATCAGGTGCTGTTTACACTTAGATTCTGAAGTCTTGATTTAAACACATTTCAGACTTCAAAACTAACACATCTATGCTAAAGAGTCCAACGGCAGCTGACGGTTTAGTCAATTATTAGTTTATAACCTAACAGGCAAGTGCACTCTCTGCCCAGACTTGGCCGTGATATTCTGCATTAATTGTAATCAAGAATTAAAACAAGAGAAAGCAAGAAAAGCCCGGCATTGACACACATTGTAGCTATTTTATATCTAAATAACATCGCATTTGTAACGGGGGGAAAAAAAGAGGGAGGATGATAAATAAAGGCGCAAGAGCCGAAACGCGGAGCGCGGCACTTCAGCACCGACAGCTCCTTCCCCGCACACGCCCGGCCCTCGCCCCCGCCGGCCAGCGCACGAAATGGCGACCGAGCCCGCCCGGGGATGTGGGCGCGTCGCAGCCGCGGAGCGTCCCCGCCCGGCCCGGCCGGGACCGACCCCCCCCCGCCCGGGAGGTGCCACCGGCCGCCGCAGCAACAAAGCCCCGCAGCGGCCCCGCGACACCGGGCGGGCTCACCAGGTGCCTCCTCGCCCGGCCCCTCGGAGGAGCCGCGGCATCCGCGGCGGACGGGCGGCTCCCCGGCGTCGGGGCGCTGCGGGGGGCTGTGATACCGGCGGTGCGGGGGCTGGCGGCGGTGCAGGGGCTGATACCGGCGGTACGGGGGGATGTGACACGGGCGGTGCGCGGGAACGACACCGGCGGTGCGGGGGGATGGATGACAGCAGCGGCGCGGGGGGATGTGATACCGGCGCGGCGGCGGGCGCGGCACCTCCTGCAGCGTGATGCGCGGCGCGGCGACAGGGACTGCCAGGCCAGTACTCACGGGAAGGTGCGGCCCCTCCGCCCGGGGAGAAGAGGGTCAAGAGGGTACCCACGCTCTTTCTCTTGCTCTTCCTCCTCCTCTCCTTCTGCTGCTGGTGCTGCCCGCTCGGCAGCCTGGCAAGAAGAGCCGCGGCGGGCGCGCTCCCGCGCTATCCCCTCCCCGGTGCCCCCGCCCCCGCCGCGCCGCGGGGAAGGCGCGCTCCCGCGCGGGGGCGGGGAAGGCGCGCGCATCTGTGCGAGCCGCGGCGGGGCGGGCGCGCGCGCGGCACGGGGGCCGGGGCGGGGCGGGGCGCGTGTCCCTCGCACCTGAGGAGGCACCTCCATGCTGGGCTGGCGTTCCTCCCTCCCTCTCCGCCACCCAGGTTAAAATGGGGGTAGAATCATCGTCGTGCTGCCGCTCAGGGGTGCCCGGACGGTGACCAACTCGGCCCTGAGCCTCCCCAGCAGCGCCGGTGCCCTGCAGCCTCCGGGCTCCACCTGTGCCCTTCCCCGGCTGGGCACAGCCGAGCGCTCCCCGGGGCACCCCCAGAGCCGCCCCCCCGGCGAGGGCGGCGTTTTAAATAGCCGCATTATTTTAGCCCGGCAGTGCCCCTCTAAATAGATGGTTTCAGCGAGTTCCCAAACTGGAGACAAGGATATTATTTTACACTCGACAATTGTCCTGTTGAACTCGTTAAATTTCCAGTTCATAAGTTCAGGAAGGCAGGCGCTTGGATGCGATCACTCAAAGAGAAGCACTGGGTGACACCATTTGGATAACAGCCTGGAACTGGGCTTATTTCAAATAAACCTTTCTGCTGAACACACCTCTTGCAGTGCTTCCCTTTCACATTTTGCAGTTAATTTAATGCACGACATCAGAAAGCATTTTAATGTAATTTTGAGACGTCTGAGGGCTGTGCTCAGTATTGCTCAAAATTAATTCAAGTATACCTTTAACATGTAGTAAATGCGATTAACTGCCACTGTTGAACTTGCCTTTGGATCAGCTTATTTAAGAATAGCCTTTTGTGCATTGCAAGGTAGCAACTTTTATAATGGTTAACTATTACACATTTGAGGGAACAGATCTCAAGGTGAACTCTATAGTGATAACTTAACAGTGCAAAACATGATGCCTAAGATGAGTAAAAAGCCCTTATCCTGCAACTCTGCAGAAACCCCTTTACGACTGGCAAGTTAAATCTGAATGTCTGACCTTCTGAAAAACAACACTCTAGATGAATAACAGATTCTATAAATGATAGAGCACATGCATATAAATATCCAAGGGTTAAACAATAACTCAGACATTACTGCTTCAGACTTTGGAGATATTCAAGCTCCTCTTAATCTGAGGCCAGGATATTAATGTTTGAGACCTGAATATGCAAAGAAGATCGGAATGAATGTGAAGAAAATCCTTTATAAAGAGGGGAAGTAAGTGCTTGAATATTCTTTTATTTGTTTGCTAACCTTTTCAGTTTTGCTATACAACTCCCATGTTCTCAACTGATTTATTTAAATATAAAACCACTACAGACTAAGTAACTGTGCATCAGTGTGTTTCTTAAAATGTAGGATCAAAGATCTGGTTATTATTTGGATAGCCAACATTAGTTTAAAAGCACAAAACATTGGGCTGTGGCAAACCACTAGGTGCAAGGTAGACCACAGAAACCAAGTAAATGAAGAGATTTCACTGTTGCAGGGAGGGCGTGATAGACAACTCTATACTGATATATGATGAGACTGAAATGTTGCAGCTGGTATGATTACACTCTTATGATTCCCCTGAGAATTTAAACTCTATAATTTTTATATTACTGAGATAAACAAATACACACATTCAATAGCACCAAGCAGAAGTTTCCAAATGGTGGCATACATATAATCATACAGTAAACAAGTAAATTCAAAGGTTTATACTAGGAGCTACTTCTGCTGGTGATGGCATCCACTATTGTGGATGAGTGCCATCCATACTGGCAGTAGGATGGTGGCATCAAGCAAAAAGAAACAGGTGGGGTTGTTGGCATAAACAACATACCTCTCAGCCATTACGATAAACAGAAATGGTGTGGCTGAAGGAATACTAGCTTTCTCAGTTCTATGCCTCCTTGCATCTTTTCTGTAGTCATCGTTCTACTTTTTGTAGCCTTTCTCCTCACTTTGCCTGCTGCAATTATATCCGTGGATTGGCAGTTCCAAACATAGTGGTTTAGTCTTCATGATCCTTTAATACCAGCCTTAGTTTACTTAGGTATCATCTACTGCTTTCTTTTACCTATTGAGGTTTTTTGGTAGTCTTTGGCATTTTGTTCCTAAAGCAGACACTTTTAAGGATTATGGAAAGACATCTTGGGTTGGACATCTCACCTAACTTTAGATGTCTACTATGTGAATGTCTGTATCTGAGCTAGTCACTCTCTCCACTGAGCATAAAGGGAACCAGAAATAGGCAGTTTTAGTGTATGATTCATCTAACCTATTTTAGATGTCTACATTAGAATAAACCAAGTTGCATCCTAGAAATGCTGGTTTCTATACATTGACTCTAACAGGACCAGCGGGTGTCTCGTGCAGCTGTAAGTGTCTACATTGTCAGAGTCTGCATTTACTCAGCTGAATGCCACCCATGTAATTTTAACATGAGTTATTCCACTGTTCCACTTGTTTTGAGGTCTTACAATGGTGAAGGGAGCACTGTGTAGCACACAAAGTACTTTGCACAAAGTAAAATGGTGAGGTGTGCCCCACTGAATATATTCAAAGTCAATAGAACTTAGACTAATCATATTTGATAGATTATGGGGCCCCTCAATCAAAAACTGAACAACTTTTGAGATTATTTTAATCTAGTTTATTTATGGGCATTTCATATTTCCTTTGGAGGATCTCCTGATACCATAAAAGTAATGTAAATGCACTTACTTCTGGTCTAATACTTTTTAGAAGCTAGTATTTATTTACGGGGACCCCTGGTGGCCTAGTGGTTAGCATGCAGGACTCTCACCTCTGCAACCCAGGTTCGAATCCAGCCAGTTCCCCGGGCAGATGGAGCCCGTTAGCCCTGTGAGGCCATCCATCTATGAGAAGGTCACTCTAAACAAACCTACGTCCTGAGGACCTCACTGCCATTGTCCAAGCTTGCTTGGCCCCGGCAGATGAACCTTAGGATTAAAGGGTGGGCTCAGTTCAGCGCATGCTGTGTCTCACCTAAAAAAATCCATTGCGCAGGCTGGAAAGGTAAAAGACCTTTCCCCAAATCTTCGTTCGCGAAGACTGGCCATTATTATTTATTTACGATAGCAGCATAAAATGTGAATATTTCTAAGCAGAAAAGAGCCCAAAGACAAGATCAAAAGCTTAAGTGATAATGTCTAATGTTAAAAGCTGCACTGCTTGGTATACAGTAACAAAATCAGCTTTCACAGACTACCAGGCAGAGGATGTGTTTTGATGTAAGATATGTTGAGAACTAGGGTAGCAAGAGTATCATGCAGGATAGACACTGCACAGAAGTGTTCTGATGTGCTGTCAAGAATTGAAAAAAAATACTTAAGGCTTCAGAACTATTCTCCCAAAAGACAATTGGTGACTACAGTTAGGTACTGCCATGCCTGATTTATAAGCTATTGCCTAGGTTTCCCTTACAAGAAATCAGAGTTCTACTGGAATCCTAGAAGGCTAGCAAGCTAAGCAGTTGGAGACAGCCACATGGAAATGCCGTGAGTTTAATCATGCCTATTTAGGACTTTAGATATTCGAAGCTGGTGGCAAACACTGCCAGGGATTCACAGGGCTAAAACTTCCTCCTGGAATTACATGCTTGAATGCAAAATGAAAGGAAGCGATCCTGTTCTTTGAGAAGCAGATGGAGAGGAGGAGCTGTTGGTGCTGTCACCTGTCCCATCTTCCATTAGCTTGATCATTAGAGTGCTGCAAAAGGAAGTAGGAGCTCTGGGTTCAGTTGTTTTCTTTGCTCAATGAACTTTAACTTCTCAGGGCACAAACCTTTCAAAAACATATAGGAGAATCTGAGGATGAAGGCAGAGTTTTCAATCCACTCTGCACAGGATAGTTAAACACTGAAAATAATCATGGCTAGGCTTCGCGAACGAAGATTTGGGAAGGGGTCTACCCACATTTGCTACAAGCGCGCTGGTGCTTAAAGAGGCCAATGCGAGATAGACAAGATCGGTTGTAAAAGGCACAGCAAAAAGACTCCTTGGATGGTATCGGCAGGATATGATTCTTCTGCATTGTCTTTTCTCCTCAAGGGTGATCCTGCGTGCGTTCTCAAAGGAAGCAGCAGCGTTATGGATTGTGTGTCTCCAGACCTCCTGATTGGAGGGTAGACCAGCGATGAAGATCAATGTGACCAAGGCTGAGATGTTGCTTCAGGGAGTCCTTGTATCTTCTCTTTGGGGCTCCTCTCTTGCGGCAGTCAGTGGCAAGTTCACCATAAAGCAAGATCTTAGGGAGGCAGTGATCCTTCATCCTTGAGACGTGTCCTGCCCAACGCAGCTGTTTTCCCAGCAACATGGCCTCAATACTCGTAACTGCTGCCTGTTCTAGAACAGATGTGTTAGTTACATAATCTGACCAGTGGATGTTTAGGATTGTACAGAGACAGCGTTTATGGAAACGTTCTAGGAGTCGCAGGTGGTGGCGGTAAATGACCCATGCTTCGGACCCATATAAGAGAGTAGACAGCACAATGGCTCTGTAAACACTGATCTTTGTACTTTTCTTCAAGTGTTTATTTTGCCAGACTCTTTTATGGAGTCTTCCGAAAGCTCTATATGCCTTTGCTAACCTGTTGTCTATCTCTCCGTCAATCTTACCATCCGAGGAGATGAGGCTACCTGGGTAATTAAACTGCTGGACTGATTTGAGCTCTGATTTGCCAATGGTGGTATGGGGATGATGGAAGACTTCCTGAGGTGCAGGCTGATAGAAAACTTCTATCTTCTTCAAGCTGACTTCCAGCCCAAAAAGGTCAGCAGCCTCAGCATAGCAGGATGTTAAACGCTGCAGAGCTACTTCTGTGTGAGCAACGAGGGCGTCGTTGTCAGCGTAAAGCAGCTCCCAGACAAGATGATTTAAGGTCTTAGTATGGGCCTTCAGTCACCTTAGGTTGAATAGGCTTCCATCAGTACGGTATTGAATGTAG